AATTACACGACATTGTGTGCAAGCGAAACTCCTCTCCGAACAACCGGACGTACAACATCGCTATCTTTTTCCATCTTCCCGGCGGAAGTTGCATCGTAGAATACTGGATTATCAGTGACGATATTAAAGTGACGATTCTACATAAGTTTATTTATTTACTGAGAAGAAGTACTTTCCTACAACTTGATTTAACTGTGTACAAGTAATGTATTAATATAAATAATATATAAATGTTAATGTTGAGCGAAATGAAGAGAAATATACACGCGATATTACAAACACGGAGATATTATTTAGTTTTTGCTTTTCTCACTAATGTTTTATTTATGTGTCAGTTCAGCTAATATCGGTTGAGGTAATAGAGGTGCGCACATAATAGAAAATGGTATGTAAACATTTAAATAATTATGTATGCACATACACATCGCGGATATTACTATAAATTGTAAATTTCCCATAGCTATATTTTCAGAAATGGTCAATAATTCTGAAATTGTTGTATATAATGTTTCTATAATCCTTAATATCACAGTAGCTTTTCATAAAATCCTAAATGGATAGTTTAGAAGAAATTCAAAATAGAAATTAAAGAATTGGCCATTCATCTCAAGGAATACGTATGAAAACTGTCATCTTTATTTGTGAATATTTCAGTTTCCCAGTGTTTCAGCTTCAATCGTTTTCTAATTGTCCCAATAATTAGGTCATATTTAAATCTATATATAGTGCAAGTTTCAACGAATTCTTAAAACTCATTTTATGCTAAAACTATCTTAAATCACATTAACACGGTAAATTCAAAAGAAACGTGCATTATTCGCCTTTTTTAATATTTTAATTCACTATATATCTAAAAAGATTCTAAACCCCACAGTTAAATAAAAAAATATCCATCTATCTGCCTCTCTCTCTCTCTCTCTCTCTTTTTTCTCTCTTTTTCTCTCTTTTCTCGAACTCTCTTTTCCTCTCTCGCTCTTGTTACATCCCTTTTTTTCCATGTTGCTTTCACACCTCATTTTTATCGCATAATTCGCATGATTACGCATTTTCTCTACGATATTGTTCGCTAGAGAGCCGATGTTACGTCGAACAAAGGTAAAAACGCGCCTCGTCCGATTGTTGAATTATTTTTTCGAGTTTAACGCTTCCGTGCGTCGCGTGGATCCCCGTGCGAAAGCATTTTCGTCGAATCCGCGTTATCGCTGCTTTCGTTATCGAAAAAACAATTTGACTGGGGAAGCTAACCGATGGACAATAGTCCATTGCGTGGATCAAAATGGTAGAAATGGTGTTGGATTGTCGTGCCCGTTATCGTATTTACAATTTCCAATATCCCGCAACTGTTGCGGAGCGGCGACGTCAGGTTTCCGTTTATAAACTGGGTACAAACCTGATGTCATGATATATCCCTTTAATATGTTACAGAACACGAGAGGGCAGTCCCCGTATTAATATCATGAAGAAATTACGACGACGACCGTCTAAGAGTACGACCGTCGCGCACGCGCCCGCAAAGCAGCTTAGAGTTAACAAATATTTCAGGGTTGGCTGAAATATTTAATCTACGAAAGAGAGCTTTGATCGACAAACCATAATAATTGAACGTCCCACTGAGCTCATGTTCGTGTTGCTTTTCACTGCCGCTCGACGTTCGACGTCGGTGAGATAAAATAACTCGGTTTGTACGGCCGGTGTATCCTACAGAGCTAAAAAGGCTTTAATTGCGAGAGCAGCTAGCGCGTGGTTACCACTGATCGAGATGTACGCGAGGCGTAAAACTTTGAAGTAAGCAATTTGGAAAAGCGAGAGGGAGAGAGAGAGAGAGAGAGAGAGAAATTGCAACACAGGCCGGAATAAAGCTTTTACGAAATAAAAGGAGGGGAGGCAGAGAGGGCGGAAAAAAAGAAGAAAAGGGAAGAAAAGTCTGACGAGTCGCACGGTTTCTTCCGAGTTATTCGATTATCGCGAGTCCCGAGCAAACGAGAAAGGGAGAAAGAGATACCGTGGTTTTCGCTTCATGCTAAATGTTCGCCGGATTGCGAGAATGAAGGTAGGGTGGCGAGTCATTTAAGAGAACGGTGAGACGAAATCATTTGCGCATCATTGTGAATTATTATAATGGCTGCGTCGTCTCGTCGAATAAAGCCGGGCTTCGTTTCCCATTTATTCCCGTTTTTCCATGTTTATTTCCTACGAGAATCGCGACCTATTGATCCGTGTATCCACTATACATATACACGCGCATTCGTATGCACACCACAGGTGCACACAAATGAACTATAATTACATAGAGGCTTATTTAAACGTAACGATTTTCAAGCGATGTTGTTTAACCGTAGCGCGCGTATCGCTGGTAATGTAATTTTAATTTCACGTTATAGCGCGTCGCGCGCACAACGCGCGATATTATACACTCATTTTCCATTTCGATATGACTCGCGTTTAATATTTTTGCAAGAAGTTTCGTGTTAACGTGCCCACTTGAGATGCAAATTATTATAATTAGAAGCACGAACTTCTGCTCCTCTAATATCGTATCGTGTTGCGAATATAACATGGTCTCTCTGTAAAGAGGACACGATCTTGGAACAACATTGTAACGTTGTTTTAATGAAATTGAGGATTATCCGGCTCTAAATGAGTAACGAAGTCCTTCTTGAAATATTTCGTTACGCGATTAATTAAGATACACTGAGAAAAATTATGATCATTTCGGCCCCCCAAATTATATTTTCTTCCGGTTTTGACTTAAAAAATAGTAGTAACAATATATATGTAAGGTTGTTATCTAATATTATATTAACACTTACCGTAAAAACGGTTCTCACGGCCATAATTCTTTCATTTATGCACAGAAAAAATTTCTGATATATGTAACTACCATCGCACACAAAAACAATGTGCTAGATTCAAGTAAATATTTACTTTAACATTCTTCAGCAAGTTTTTACTTGGATCAAGTAAATATTTTACTCGAATAATTTTTACGTGGAAAATATTTTACCTGGATTAGGTAAATATTACTTGATCCAAGTAAAGATCTGCCAAAAGGAGTATTGAATTAATTATTTACTTGAATCTAGCATTTTTTTCTGTGTGCGATTATAGTTACGAATATGAGAGACTTTTTTCTCAGAATGTAATAACATAATTGTATCAAGCGTTCATTAATTCCAGGTCTCATCATTCGTGCGCGTTTTCACGGCGAGCGATCGGCGCAAAGTCTCATCTCGATTTCCCATTAATTCATTCAACATTTTTACCGTCCGGTTATCCAGTTTAGCTTGAAAGCTTCGCGCATCGTATAGCAGTAATAATATTACAGCGGCACGATATTTCTCCGGGGTGAAATATATTTTTCCGAATATAAAAAAAGATTTAATTTTCAAAGTGAGATTCTCGTGAAAGTCAGCTCGCGAGGTCAATCGTGCTCGAGAAATATTTATCTGTCGTGTTAAGTGAGGAAGATATTTCGTCACCGAGCTCTTAATCAATTTCAATGCGACCGGAAGAGGAAAAACTCGCGAATTGTGCAACGAAAATATTATCTCACTTTCCGTGTTGCAGCGTGTGTGTGTATCCACAATCAAGATAAAACACAGAGTAAATACGCGTGCACAGAAAACACGGTAATGATAATAATAGGCTATGCACATTGCCTTCTCCTCATAAGCGCGGCCAACGTTGTCCATGAATTTTAAATGGGACATTACGTGCTAGTGCTCACCTTTATACCATAGTTGCTCTCCTCGTATATGATGGAAACGTAGCTCCAGCCCATCTTCAATACGATGTCGACCATCGCTTTGACTTGATAGTGATCGCTTGGTATAGTGCGGGTGAAATACTCGAAGCGTTGTTTGTTGGAAAGTTCCGGGCTCGTTGAGAAAAAGGAGACCTGCAACAATACATCAGCGAATCTCCATTTCAAATTATTCAAATACCAGGGGATTCCGTGGTGACTTTTGTGTTTTGTGTAACGTCGCACCGGCTATGCCGACGATCTCGTAACGGAGATTTACGCCCGGGACATTTACGCAGCACTTATTTGCAATCGCCCCGTACGAGTCCGTACCGTGGATTTGTGCTGTTATTATTCGATTGTCGGGAAACCTTCGTGTTTCTCGCACGTTCGCAAAATACGGCGAAACGGCTGTCAAAGAGAACGAGAGCATATGCGCGCGCCGGTGTTATTACAATAAATAAAGGAACTATCGATAAATAAAGGGAATAACAGCGAAGGAAAAGAGAGAGAGAGAGCACGAAACACACTACAGAACCGAGAATATTGGTCCTTGGCTTACTTCTCGTATTTAATCTCTTTAATAACTGCATTACGAAACTGCTCAAACGTATTAGAAACAATAAAACTCAATCTTCCATCGAGATCTCTAAGACGATACCTTTTTTCTTACGTATGTTCTTCTTACTTTCTATTCGCCCGTCAGCGATATTGTCTGTCACGTATGCTGAAGGGTTCCTCCGTTAAATAAAGATTATTTATTAATTTACGAGACCGTCACACACAGGATCGCCGTACGCTGTCGGATAAATGATTTAGCAGGAAATACTTTCATCAGCGCGACGTCTTATATTCCCGCAACACAACCGCCACACGTCAACGGAGCTGAGCAGCGGTATCAAGTTCCGACGGGAACTTCCATCGTTCTTCCTTCCTAAACGTCGAAACGCCGGCGAGCTTCTCTTTCTCGAGATTGGACTCTGATCCTGAGATCTATCGAAGAACGATAACGGACTTTCTCATCGCACCGCTCACGACGTTATAGAATAAGGATGTTTGCGCCGGCATTGGATAATCCCTGTTCTCGATTGGCAGACGGGTGACTGCAACTCCCTGAAAGCGAAGTAAACTCGATTCCTTTCAAGAGTGACGTCGTTCCAGCGAAACGATCCCGAAACGATACTGCCTCGGTCGCGCCCAAAACGAGCCGAAAGAGCGAAAGCGTGTAATGTAATGGTTAGAGAAGCTCGCGCAAGCTTCATCGCGTTTTCCTCCGGTTGAGGGGCGACGAGCATCCGGGGAGGCTGGGCTACGTGCACGGCCGGTGACGTGAAGATAATCGACTGATTTATTTCGTTCGATGCCCTTTAAGGCGACTCGGAACGCAGCAGCGAGAATCGTGTGCAGTGGCACAAATCTCGCTGAAAAACAGCTCGAGGATGCAATATATAAAGACCGTCGCTCGCGAGACTTGGCATCCGGACGGTCACAAGTTCGAAAAGATACGCCGTCAAAGCTCGAGAGATACGAGTGGTATCGGGCAGACCGTTTGTTACGGAGCTTTCGAGTATCCAAGAATTCAACAATGTGCGAACTGAAAGATACCATAAGGTCATGGAATCTCCGAGGATGCGTAGGTAGCTACGGGTCGGAAGGGCTCGTAAAATCGAAGCAAGTTTCGAGGAGGCCTGAACGAAGAGAAACGAAGTTCCCGGAGGGTGCCGTTGAGTTTAAGGGACTCGGCTACTCAAAGGAAGACGGTGGAATCAAGTGGCACCTGCTTTCGCGCGTATTCGACGGGCCGGCGCAAATATTTGTGAACCATCCGGCGACTTGCCACTCACGGGCGAGTTCGAGGATTTAAGTATTTTACTGCGGCAATTGGGGTATAATTTAATTTCGAGAAACAAAGCACTCTCTCTCTCTCTCTCTTTCTCTCTCTTTCTCGAGCAAAGGTAGTACGACGGTGTGAAAGGGACATCGTTTGTCTACATCGTGCGTTTCATGGTGTAACTCCGTAATAAGTTTCACCGCCGGTCGTTTATCCACCAAAGACCAAGTTCTCCCCCTGCTTTTCTATACAACGTCTCGCCACTGTTGATACTTGTCGAAGAAAAGACGATTTTGGGTTAGTCGCGCGTGGCAACGCCGATGATTAATCATCTTTTCACCGTGTAACACAGTGTAAGGCGACTCCTTCAAGATCGACTTGCCGGCCGACCGGGTGGCGCGCATCGCGTTACGCCTCGGAGAACTTCAGGGACAAGATGTGTTATCACACCGCTTTCTTGCGATTCTAGCAAACCGGCGAATTCTGTTCGAGGTTCCGCCTTTCCCCCCTTGGCTTTTGCTATTTCGAATTAAACAGGCTCGGATTCCTACGCCGCGCGCATTCTTCGGCCGTACACGAGGGCCGAATATCAAACGGCCCCGATATTCGAATAATTGGAATATCGCGCAATAATATTCCAATTGTAGTTGAATAGCACTTCGTGCTATTTCTGTATCGCACTCTGACGCATTTGCAATCTTACTTTGTTCGCGCGACTTCCCGCTTTTAACGTCACGTTCCGACGTACGTGGTGTCCCATTTTAATGGAGACTGCGGAATATCTTGAAAACGAAGCAATTGGTGAAGAAATGGCTTGTATAAAAGTTATCGAGCTTGGGGAGGGACAGGGATTGGTGGACCTTAATTTCGTTGTCTGGTCCACAATTCGAGGTAATTTTAAGATCAATTTTATTTTCGAAATGGGATCATATAATTTTTAACTTTCAAATCAATTCATTCGGCGGAAAATAAAAAGTGCCAGAGTAACATCATCGAGAGGTAAATACTTTTCGAGATATTTCCCTTCATATTCTGGTACTGAAGTAATCTTGATAATGACACGACCTTGAATTATCGACTATACAACGAAGTTGAAATTATCCTTATGGATTGTGTATAAAGCTGAATATCGCGTAGTTTAAGGAATACAATACAATACGTGCAGCGCTCGTTCCGCGAGGGCAAAAGTAAGATCAATTCTGCTCTTATCGCACAATGTGTTTCTTCTCTCTCTCTCTCTCCCCTTCCTTCCCTCCCTCTGCTCTCTTTTCCTTTACATACACCCACACCCTCGCGTCGTTCCTCCGAGGTCGACTCGGTTCGACCGGCCTCGATCGCCGTTCGATTTGTGTTAGCGAGTAACGAGATTTTCAGACGCGTTCGATCCGTAGCCCCGGAGAACATACGTCGTCGCCGGTGCGTTCGCGGCGGATGAGTTTATGTAGTGAGAAACGAGGCGGCGGACGTTATCTCGCGGCGCGAAGGTACCAGCGCTACTTTTCTCCGGGACAATGCGCGCGTCCTATCATACATCGGGTGGGCGGAGGGGCGCGCGGGTTCTCCACGCCACGGCGAATATATTTATCACAGTTTGTCAGATTCTGAGTGGCTCTCTCTTCCCCTCTCCGCTATACACCCGCGCCGCCGCCGTCGTGCGCGCGGATTCAACCTCTCCGCTCCCTTCGGCCGCGCGCGCCGCACCGATGGAGAATCATACGAAACCGCGACTCCTCCGATACACTCGATTGGCCTGATCGATTGATTATATGGCTTCTGATGTTTTCCCCCGGCCGGGCTGAAAATAGCGTGACGAAATGAGCGAGTGGACGGTCGCCGAGTTTTCCGGGCAATGATTTCCCGTTGGCCGAACGCGAGCCCGGGCTTTTAAGTTCCCTCTCTCTCTCTCTCTCTCTCTCTTTTTCTTCCTTCTTCATCGCCCTTTTTATTTTTCCTTTGTTTCGTGTTTACCTTTCGGCTGTTTGCTCTTTCCTTTTTTCATTAGCGGTGTCATTATAAGTCTGGAAAACTGCGCGGAACTTGGAGAAAAAAGCGCTTTAAATTGATAATGTTCGGGGAACGGGGAAAGTACGAAAATCTTCGGGAATTTTCCGCGCGCGCGCGTCCCGACGGACGGGAAAGAGGAAATGCATCATTCAACGGGCATTACTCACCGACGCTTCGACATTGTCCGGGTGTGCCGGCACTCCGAAAATATAAAATATACTAACGGAAAGGAATATTAATAGTAATAAATTATTAATGCTATCGGGAAGTAATATTATTCTAGTCCAGATCGATCTTCCTTCCATATTTTCATTTCGCTTTCATTTCAACACTTCATTTTAACACGTGTCCACTTTCGTGAAAACATTGCAATTATAATCGCGGTCTGATTAGAGGCAACAAATGACGATAATTGTACGATCGAGCCGGTCATATGTACGCGCGCGTGTCTATGTCTGTGTGCGTGTTATCACGGGTGGGCGCATTAAAAAGTCAGCTGGCCGCACTTGATCGAAAATTTATCGCCGGCGCGGCACGAACTTGATCAGCAGCGCTACGCGCTTTCGCCACGCACAATTTCACGCCGGAGGACTCGCGTTTCGGCACGAGCGCCTGAATATCGCATCAGTTTTTGCGTCGTTTCCGCCAGGCCATTATCCGTCGGGGCGGTCGATTGTAGATTGCGCGATACATACGAACGCGCGTGTGTGCTATCTGCTTCTACGTATCGGAACGGTGGAGTTTTTTGTCAGCCGTGTTTGAACGTCGCAGCGACGCGCGCGCCTGATGCCTTTTGTAGAATCCAGAAAACGACGTTAACCTTAATTGAAATGAACCGGCTGCGCCCAAACCGCGCGAAATTGCCGGCGCTGATAAAATGGAATAAGGGAACGCCGCTTCGAATTACTCGCCGGACGTGCCGATTTATCGCGCGCGCACGCGCGACTTACGACTCACCCCCGCGTTGAAAAGTCTCTCTGTTGACCCGCCGTTTTCGCAACAGCGCGATACGCATCGCGGCAAATCGATCCCATCAAGCGACGACGGCACAAAAGTGTCCTTTCGCGTAAGCGGAATATATATATATCTAACGATAATGCGAACAAGACGAATCGATATATTAAAATCTTCACTTCGTGGAGCGAAATTTTCCATTTCAGGTTACGAGAGGATTCTCTAATTCGGAGCTATAGATTTAGTGTCTCACTCTGGATATACGGAGATAAAGATTTCTCTGGACTTAATGAAATTTTTATTTAATTTAATTGAAACAAATTTGTCTTTTATAATAGAACAAACAAGGGAATGTTTCATCCAACAA